CCTACTGCTAGGCTCTATCTTTATAAGATTCAGATCAGACCAAGCATATTGGTGCCATATCTGGGCTGGCGCGACCCATTCGTCAACCACGACAGAGTTCAAAAATGATTACGCGGCTCTGTGGGTGAAGAATTATTTCTGTTGTGGATTCCGGGTTGAAATCCGGTACCAATAAATAACAAACGCCAGGAATGAATATATGAAAATAATATATTAACGTAATAATACAAACTGGTAAAGCAGATTAGTAGTTCCAGGAATACGGGTTAGTAGCAAAATATATATACAGTCTTTGTTATTGAAGTATCGCTGTATGACTTCTTACTGAGTCTACGTGCTCGATGACTGTGAATCTTGCTCATTCTTCGCTCTACTCGTTCTTCTCACTGTCGTACTTAGATCTCGTTCGCCCTCTTCGGGTATTCACTGGCAGTGGTATATGTATACCTTGGGTGAGTCCATTTGTGTCAAAAGGGGAGAACCCCCTCAACAATTTTCAACCCTATATTCAACAAACGAAAACTCGCTAGGCTCTCGCTACACCATTGCTGTTCTTCTTTCTTTCATTTTATGTGCCGTGTCCTTTCAGAACGTAGTCGATCATGGCTCTCCACCTTCTCCTATCCCTTGCAGCTCTCAACAAGTTCCCTCTCTTTACTTCCTCCTCCAGACCCCGCTTGCTTAAGGCCGCCAGGAATGTCATGCGTTGTTTTCCCTTGTCTCTCTTTCCCTCTATACGACTTGTGAGTATCAGATTCTCCAGGCTCTCCTTCCTCATTATGTGTCCCAGAAACTTCAGCTGCCTCTTCTTGATGTTAAGTATCTTTGCCACCTCTCTAAGATCTCATCGTTGCTCATACGCTCGGTCCATGATATCCTTAGCATCCTTCTGTAGAACCACATCTCCGTCGCCTTGAGTCTCTTCTTCATCCTTGAGAAAATCGTCCAGCATTCTCTGCCGTAAAGAAGAACAGATGTCACGTAACAGCTCAGTATTCTTTTCTTTGTTACCAAAGAAATCTTTCTTACGGTGGCAAATTTTCAAACGATCTACATGCCTTAGTTCCACCAGTTCATACCTTCAAGACTACGACTTATTATGCCACGCACACGGTGTCAAATTCTTGATATTCAACTTAGACTGCTACTGCTCCAGTATTGGTATCTGAAAATGCTTCTCCGACCATGACGCTCTTAATCTTCAAATTTAGGATCAAGCGATAACTTCCCTCTATATCCTCATAATATGCACCTCTCTTACCTCCTCCTCCTTCAACGTCCTTACAACATTTTAACTCTAATCATCTACCTTGAGTGGCTCATGATCTTTGTATTACGTGAACTATATTTTTAAAAAAATTCTTCGCTTCGATGTCGCGTTTTTGGGGACTGAAGAAAAATGAATGTAAACCGCGTATAATTGTAAAGATGTAATTTTTTTTTAAATAATTTCACTACAAGCAAGGCAATAAAGCCACTAAGACTCTATTTACATTACTGAGTGTGAGAAAATATGAGAAAAACAAAACATTATTAAGGAGAACGAACAATAAAAGAACCGAAATTAAGAAGAAAGCAAGGCGGCAGATGAGAGTTCCACAAGCGAGAAGTGCGAAGGAAGAAACTATTAGCATAGAACTTACGGCTGCATCTAGCCATTTCAAATGTATAAGGTCGCCAATCTATATTATCCATTGTAGAGAGTATTTTGAAATCCACCACAAAAGTTGATATTTTTCAAAATAAATATTTACTACATTTTTTGATTTTACTTTGGCTCTAAAATAGTTTCTTTATGAAAACCTTTTCATTTCAGGCATTCAAAATAATTATATTGAATCAGAAAGTGGGGGAGAGCAGTTTTTAAAGTTAAGCCCTAAAAAGAACAGGAAAATCGCCGGCGCATGACAGCACACGTGTGAGTGGAATGACGGCTCAATAATTGTCTGTAAAATTAAAATTACCACCGCCTTTTGTGAAAAGGGGTACTGAAGTATTCCTGTCACAGTTAATGGTTTAAATATGTATATTTTCAAAGCTTAACTTCCTCTGGCACAAGGCCACAATTGTGCTGGATCGAACTTATTAGCAATCGTCTGCGAAACGAGCATGCTGAGAATAACTCTATAATGAGGCCTGGTGTGGCACAAAGCCAGAATCAACATCGCAAACACTACAAAAGCAATCATATCCTAAACTAGCTCGTTAACCCGTACACTACGATAGAGTACTCGCCAAATGAAAGTATAATATGAGCATTATTAGTATAATTTTCACCCGTTATTCCATAACCATTTTTTAAGTGTCATATCCTTTCCGCATATTTACGATCCTGATTCACCAAATCAGTCTCCTGTTTCTTTATTATTAATTACTATGATATATTCAAAAAGTAAATAGAGTAGTTTGCCCCGTTTCCTTCTCTATGGTTTGAGATTCAAAATTCTCCTTCTTGTAGACTTGCTGGCATCCAAAGAAGGCAATAAAGCCACTAAGATGCAAGTGGTTACTAAGTGTTAGAGAATATGAGAAAAATAAAACATTATTAAGGAGAGAGGATAATAAAAGAACAAGAATTAAAAAGACAGAAGATAATTCAAATTACATTTAAATCTCTACAGGTCGACTGGGAAGCCAAAAGACGAAAGAACACCACAAGCGAGAAGTGCAATAGAAAAACTATTTGCATAGAACTTAAAGTTAGACTTGTAAAAATGTAAGACAGATTTGAGCGAGAAAAACTGGAAAGCAAGAAGATGAAAGAGAGTTCCATAAACTGGGAGTGCAACAGAAGAAACTGCTAACATAGAACTTACGCTTATGCCTAATCATTTCAAATTTTAAATGACGAGCCTTTGCAACCAATCCCGTAAGGCGCTTAAAATAATAAAGTCTAGGTAGCACAGAGAGAAGTTCATCAGAACTTTACCAGGAGAGTATTTACAGTAAAGGAATAGGGAAGTTAGGTTACGGCGGGAGGAAAGTGATGCCAGATCAGAACCAGTAACATAGCGAATGATTCTCTTGGTTATATCTCTAAATATATATCACGAGCAACATACCATATGTGGTAGCAATATTCAAAGTAACGGCGAATGGTAGACTTATAAATTTGTAAGATAAGATTCTGGCGAGAAAAATGTTTAGCCTGACACAGAGAACCAACTTTCTTAGCAGCCCGTCCTACCAATTGATTCGATATAATCTTTCCGCTTCGCGTCTCGGGAAAACGTTAGTCCCAGAAGGCGTAATGAGTCACTCATCAGGAGGTTAGCATCAGCCATGTTGATGGAAGGTAAAAAAGGGGCTCAGACGATTAAAATAGAGTAGTTTCGTTTTGGAGACGTTAATCTTTTAACCCACATTTAATACACTCTCAATAAAATTTCTCAGCATCCTTCTGTAGAACAACATCTCTGTCGTTTCAAGACTCTTCTTTATCTGTAAGGAGACTGCCCAACATACGTAGTTTCTTTTTTCATATATTGTTTATCTTCAACTTGAACCGTGCACCACTTAGTAAAGCCCGAATCATGGAATCACCAAACTAGCTTCTACTTTCTACAAAGTAGGATCAAAGGAGAGATGGTAAAGAGTTAAAAGTTGTTTACAGCTACAAGAGACCGGAAATTATGGAGAGCCGTGATGATTTACGCCCTGATGGAACACGGCATATAAATAATGATGAGGCGTTCATGTAAACACATACACACGTTTCACACTGGCTGTATTCACTCTCTAAGGAAGTTTCTCTTACGTACAAGTGCTTCTTTGCGTGAAGATAGATATATAGATAGATAGATCATAGGAAATATTGGGATAGATAGATAGATTAGCAATGACTAAGGTAGATAGATAAGAATAGACTAAGAATCATGGTCTATTCCTATCTATATATCTATCTTAGTCTAAGATAGAAAGATAGATAGATAGATAGATCATGGGAAATATTGGGATAGATAGATAGATAGATAGATAGATAGATAGATAGATAGATAGAGAGATAGATAGATAGATAGATAGATCATGGGAAAGCGTAGATAAGGAAAAAAGTAGATAGATAGATAGATAGATAGATAGATAGATAGATAGATAGATAGATAGATAGATAGATCATGGGAAAGCGTAGATAAGGAAAAAAGTAGATAGATAGATAGATAGATAGATAGATAGATAGATAGATAGATAGATAGATAGATCATGGGAAATATTGGAATAGATAGATAGATAGATAGATAGATAGATAGATAGATAGATAGATAGATCATAGGAAATATTGGGATAGATAGATTAGCAATGACTAAGGTAGATAGATAACAATAGACTAAGAATCATAGTCTATTCCTATCTATATATCTATCTTAGTCTAAGATAGATAGATAGATAGAAAGTTCATGGGAAAGCGTAGATAAGGAAAAAAGTAGATAGATAGATAGATAGATAGATAGATAGATAGATAGATAGATAGATAGATAGATCATGGGAAATATTGGGATAGATTGATAGATAGATAGATAGATAGATAGATAGATACGAAGAAATGAAGTCGAAAAAGACAAGGAAAAAGTATAAGTTAGAAAGAGTGCACAGAGTAAAAGGTAGAGCGAACGAGAAAAATGAGCGTTGACAAAGAGAGAGAGAGAGTTGAGAGAGAGAGAGAGAGAGAGGGGAACTAAATACGCTTCCGAAGTTGGTCATGACGCACTGCGTCGGCCGTAGAAATCACCTTGAAGCCGGAGGCGTTTCTTCCCCATTGATCAACCAGTAGTTTGACGGCAGACGACTACAGCTCTTACCATACAGCAATGACTGTCTCCATTGCATTCCCATGAAACTTGAAGGCCCGTCCTCGATTTTAAACTTACATTATTGTAAACATCTATTTGTCGGTTTTCGACATCTTTAAAATCTTTCTCTTTATTTTCTTGTTTTGTTTCGCTCTTGGGTCGTGTATTTTTGTTTTACTTTTCGGGTGTGGGTGGCACACTGAAATAATAGTGTTAGATTTCATGAGAAACTGAGATAGATAGATAGATAGATAGATAGATAGATAGATAGATAGATAGATAGATAGATAGATAGATAAAGAAAGAAAGAAAGAAGGAAAGAGATAGATAGATAGATAGATAGATAGATAGATAGATAGATAGATAGATAGATAGATAGATTAAGATTAATATAGATAGATAAAGATTAAGATAGATTATTAGATAGATAGATAGATAGATAAAGAAAGAAAGAAAGAAAGAGATAGATAGATAGATAAAGAAAGAAAGAGTAATATATATAGATAGATAAAGAAATAAAGAGTAATATAGATAGATAGATAGATAGATAAAGAAAGAAAGAATAATATAGATAGATAGATAAAGAAAGAAAGAGTTATATAGATAGATAGATAAAGAAAGAAAGAAAGAGTAAGATAGATAGATAGATAGATAGATAGATAGATAGATAGATAGATAGATAGATAGATAGATTGTAATATAGACAGATAGATGGAGAGGCTAGAAATGATCTTCGACTGAGACTGACATGAATATATTGGAGAGATGGTCATATATCTATTGTCAATTGACATAATGACATAACCGAATTATGACAGACTTTATAAAACTTGGATAGTCACATGTAAACAAAATTGGATGATTTATTCGCACTGGGTCGCAACCGTGGAGCATCTAACACTAGTTAAATCCCAATCAATAGATATTTTTATTTATTTATTGATGATCTGCTATGACGTAGTTTCATTATTCTCGATATTTTTGTTCAGATCATCGCCTTCAGTTTTCGTTGTTTTGAGCGAAATGTTTTGGTCGATACGTTCACTATATGAATGCAGAAAGTATTGGCCGAAACCTTCTGCGACAAACAACAATAGATTCCGAGTTTAACTCGGTAACCCTTGTGAATAGTGCTTCATAAATAGATATGAGCGTCAATGGCCGATATGAGAATGCGAAGATGCTACAGTGGCCATCTTTCTTTTTACTGTGGAACGGTTTGTTCCACAGAAAAAAGAAAGATGGCCACTGTAGCATGCTTCAAACAGTATTGAAAATACTGACCTTCACTGCAAGCCCAAAACAGGTCAGTGACGACAAAAGCAACATTAAAAGTTCTGTTTTATCCGGCCACGCAAAAGAAAACAAGGACATATGTTGCTTTTCTGAACACAAATTCAAATACACACGCGCACTTACATAGATAGATAGATAGATAGATAGATAGATAGATAGATAGATAGATTTTAACAGACCTACACGGGCCTGAAGATAGATAGATAGATAGATAGATAGATAGATAGATAGATAGATAGATAGATAGATAGATATTAATTGACCCAGACAGGCATGAACACATATAGATAGATAGATATTAACAGACCAAACAAGCAGGAACATAGATATTAACAGACCTAGACAGGCATGAAGATAGATAGATAGATAGATAGATAGATAGATAGATAGATAGATAGATAGATAGGCCTGAATGTTCAAAACATTTCTCGGATATTCAGGCCGGTAGATGTTGTTTAATATTGTTTATTATAAACAGATCATTTACATAGATAGATAGATAGATAGATAGATAGATAGATAGATAGATAGATATTAACAGACCAACCAAGCAGGAACATAGATATTAACAGAAATAGACAGGCATGAGCATAGATAGATAGATAGATAGATAGATAGATAGATAGATAGATAGATAGATAGATAGATAGATATTAATAGACCCAGACAGGCATGAACACATAGATAGATAGATAGATAGATAGATAGATAGAAAGATAGATAGATAGATAGATATTAATAGACCCAGACAGGCATGAACACATAGATAGATAGATAGATAGATAGATAGATAGATAGATAGATAGATAGATTTACTTAATTCACGATATAATCTAATTAAGGAAAACCGTAAATGGGTAGATTGTGTTGCACCAATCGTATTCGTTGAAACGGCCTGAATCTCTTGAAAATTAACATTTCTAATCATAGATGATAACAAGAATCAAACACAGGACAGTAGTGACGCTGAGAAAATATTTAACTAGGACATCTAGCAAGAAAGATATGGGCTAAGTGCTTAGAAAGTTCACATTACGTCCGTACCTCCCCATAATCGATTTGTCATAGAGGTAACTTCTTGATTTTATTAGATTTGTTGATCTTCTCCTGGAGTACAGCACATTTGGAAAGTGTCTGAAAATCAGGAGTCGACCCATATCTTGTAAGTGCAACTAGGTGAGAAACTGTTCAGAAGTTGTCGTTGGTTTCTGCTAACACAAAGTTACAAGTCGTCATGACCGTTCATTTGAACGTACTGTCCATATTCAAAAATGTTCGTCAGGCTATATAATTCTCACAGAATCTGTAACTTAGAGATTCTAACAGAAGATAAGATAACGGCCGTTCAGGAAAAAAAAAATAGAATAAGATGAAGAAATGTTTATTAAAAAAATGACTGAAAATAACATGATCGGTTGCTATTTTTCGTCCTATAAAAATGTCCATTGGCCACAGTCATGCATATGATTTCTGTCGTCTCAAACAATATCAGATATTGCGTTTGTAATTATATTCGTTTTGATGGAATGACACCTTTGTTGATTCTTTGAAATTCAAGTTTTTTAATGTAATGAGAGACGAGTTCGAATCCCAGTGGAGTTCATTACATTCGATTACACACAAACATCCTTGAGAAAGTTATGAATCTATCGCCCTCCTCAGCTCTGGGTTAAATAGTAAGATTTTTTTTAAATATTCACTTGCAAAAAATAAATAAATAAATAAGAATTATTTTTATAATCGTAAATATGTTTCTTCTTTAAATAACCCCAAAGGGTTGATAACCCGTAACAAACAAGTCAATTCATTAAAAACGATCTCTTTCATAATCTTTTTCCTATTTTTCTTCATCCTCCTTTTCTCTCTCTCCTCCCTATTTGTATTCCCTCTCTCATTGTCTTCTTTTTTTTCTTCTTAATCCAGGAATATAAGAAATTGCTTAAAATACGAACTTGGAAAGATTCATTATAGTCTGGCATTTTTACATTTACGAATAGTGAGGGAATTATCGTCTTTTATTAATGTAAGGGAAGCTGATCAGAATGAAAGAATAGTGCTTCCTATTTCTACTGAAGCGAAAAGAAATGGTAGATTATCAGAATATTGTATTGAATCGTTAAGATAACCAATTCCAAATAACTGTTTCGCCATTGACGTTTCACACTTTCCCATCACCGTAATGGTTTCATTAACAGGTAAACGAAAAAAAAATACTTCAGCCTCAAAAGGTCAAAGCTAATGTTACAATCACGTGTATAGATTTTATAAGAAACACATCGACAGTTCATACAACCAGTCAGATAGAGGAAACAAAACAAGATTCATAAAAGAATAAAATGGCTTCATGACTAAATGAATATAGGACTGAGTCTTTCTTCTGGAAAACATATTCTTCCTAGTGCACTCGACATATCGTGTATTCCTACTTTCACTTTCACTTTTTCCATCTCTCGCAATCTTGGGATATACTGGGTGTAGCAGGAAAATGTTCCTATTGTTCAAACCTTTGAAACTTTGTATCGTAGAAATGATTAAACATATCGTACTGGAATTCTCCGATGTTTTCATAACACTATTGGACTTTACTTTGAGCCATAAGAATTTATAATTACTCTCCATGCTTAACAGAAGAATCGTGATGAAATCGATCATAAAGTAAAATGACATGTTCATCATTAATTAATCATAGCTAAGGACCGAAAGCTCATGAAGTATCGAAATACAATTCAAACACAAACACACACACACACACTTATTCAAGCTGATCTTCGCCCTCTAACTTTCTAACCGTCCGTCCTGGAGTAACAATGTGCCTCAGAGGTTTCACTAACGATTTCATTTTCAAGTCTTTTTAGACTGCTCTTTGAACTGTCATAGTTGAAACTCTTCTCTCACATGCTAAACGTCTTATAGATTGAGTTGGATCATTTTTTAATTGATTTCTTTAGAAGTTGAAATGATGATCCCTCTTCCTGTTGTGACGCCATGATTCATTTTTCCCCTGTACCGTTCCCTCTTTTTAAAACTTATTCCCCGTTCTCTTCGTGGTTCTTGAATGGACTTTTAAGATGGAAGTCAGTATGAATATTGTCACCATTACTGAAGATCTGAATGATCTTTTTCCTCTCACCATTTCTCAGTTGGGAAAACAGTGGAGCTGACACAAAACTATTTAAACCTGTTCTATTTCCAGCTGAATAACCCAAAGTGTTTTCAGTGATTCTTATGACAAATGGTGTCAATATGGCTAAACGTCTTTTCTGAAGACCTGGAAAAAAAATTAGTTTTGTGGCTTTTTTAGATATTAAACATTTTGTGGGATTTACAATTATGCTGTTACATAATTTGGACAATTTTACTGTTAAACTTTTATTTATATATATATATATATATATATATATATATATATATATATATATATATATATCCTTGATTTTTTTCTCGGTAGAGGCCAGTAGACCAAATAAATACTGTTTCAAATAAACAGTGTTGGCTCAAATACGCGTATTCACTAAAAATAGCTTTTTAAGTAAAAAAGATACGTCTGTTTCAAAATTAAAATCCATTAATTCTTTCGAAACTGCTTTGTTTACGAGTGAATGTGCCTTAAAAGCAAAATAGAGCCTTGCTTTATTGTGACGCTCTTTGTCAACGAGCTGTAAAAGCACGACGGATCAGACGGTGTTTTTTCCTGCTAATGAGGATGCCGGTTCGAATCCTACAGGAGGCTTCATTACTATTTATTTTTTTCTCTACGCAAGCCAATAGACGAAATAAGTATTATCTAAAATCAAACGCAATGTCTACTCAAATACGTGTATCCACTAAAAATAATTTTTGAAGCAATATATAGTCGACTCTCCCGTCGAATTCGACGTATGAGGGTCAAGCAGATCAGTTTTCAGGAAACCGACAGCCCGACACCGGCACATGAGATTTGATCATAGTGGTGAAGACCTCGTGCAGGACCATCCACACTTTTTGAAGAGACGAATACAGAGACCTGGTGCACTGAGTGCCACAAGGTTCCCAAACGAACCTCCACAGGTTTTAAATTCGGAGTTATCCTTCTCCTAGACCAGTTGCCATCCAAGGCTATAGAACCCAGTCTGTCCTGCTATTTTACCCATAACTGGAGGGAGAAGAAGAGGTTTCATACCTTTCCCAAGGGTATTAGTATGTAATGGATTCGACTGGAATTCGAACTTGACTCTGCGATTTGTCAATCCAAGCCGCCATCCATTACTCCACCATGCCTCTATCCATATATATATATATATATATATATATATATATATATATATATATATATATATATATATATATATATATATATATATATATATATATATATATATATATATATATATATATATATATATATATATATATATATATATATATATATATATATATATATATATATATATAGAGAGAGAGAGAGAGAGAGAGAGGATTGATAAATCATAAAAAATGAAATTAATTAATCGTCTATCCTTTTTTTTTTTTTTATATATATATTTCCTTCCATATCATTCATGTAAGGGATCAGATGTTATTTCACTGAGCTCAAAATTCATTCACCTTATCGGTATTAGATATTTGAAGCAGATTCAATCGCATATATAACAATACGTGCCTTAACCTCGCCACCAGGACGCTCAAATTTAGAACTATTTGGCTGCGCCTTAATGTTAAGTCACTCTTGCGGGAGTCATAATACCTGCTGCACGCCCTAGACCCTACACTGCAAGCAAATCTTTGTGGACGGTCACTGGATGAGTAGCCTTCAATTAGGAAGAATTGTCCGTATCATTGCGGCTGCCGGCCATCACTCTTACCTGGGTAATGGTCGGAAATGAAGCCATAACCGGGTCTGTGTATTCCGGCCCATAGCACAGTCTTCGCTCACCGTTTGGCACGTTAACAAAGCTGGAATTGTACATTAGACAAACCTTATTGATATGTAATGACCTTTAACAGCGTATCGATTCTCGTTCACTAAATTCTAAGAACTTTGCAATATTTTACAACTTAAAACTAGTTAATGTTAACAAACAATAATTCATTTATATAATAAGCATGGTATAAAAGATTAGAGAAGTATGTTATTTTACATCTTAAATTATATATATATATATATATATATATATTTATATATATGTGAAAATTTCTCCGCTTTAACCAGTAGAGAAGACAATATTTATGAATAAAAATAACAATAGGAAAACTTTATTCGTATTTTGCTTTGATAAAGTCCACATTGGACGAAACGCGTCAGCAATTACCAGTTTTCCTATTGTCATTTTTATTCATAAATATATATATGTATGTGTATGTATGTATGTATATATATTTATATATTTTAGATATATGATTGCATATGTATGTGTATATTTACCACTAATATTATCACTATCTATATCTATCTGTCTATCTATATATATATATATATATATATATATATATATATTCCGTATATTTTGGCAGCATTTTCATTTAAATATGTCCGATTAAAAAAATTAGACATGTTTTTGTTTATTTTCAATAATATCCAATCGGATGGAGGTACGATGGAGTAATGGATGGCGTAATGAGGAATCGGAGAGCCGAGTTCAAATTCCAGTCGAATCCATTACATTCACTTACATGATAATACTCTTGGGAAACGGTATGAATTCTTTTCTTCTCCCTCCAACTATGGAATATTGCAGGACAGACCGGGTTCTATAACCTTGGATGACAACTGGTCTACCGCAGAAAGAAATGGCAACCTACTGCGGAAAAAAATCTGCCTCTGCTGTCATGTATCGAAAGCTACATGATTGCTTAAGCATGTATCACGCATAGCACATAACTGAATGAATCAAGATTTGTTGCTTCATGATTAAAGAAAGCAAGAAAAGTACCATGGTTGTATTTATTCAT